GGACTCGGGGACCCAGCCCCAGCTGCAGATCCAGGGCATCGGGTAAGGGCTCCAGGCCGGTTGCGCGACACCCGCAGCTCTCGGGAAGGAGCCGTGTGTTTCGCAGCCGCTTCCAAGTGGGGAATTTTGCTGCTGGGCTGGTCATTCGGACGCAGAGCGGGAATGTTTTGTTGGGTGCTCGGAGGCTGTTGTGGTGGCGAATCGCTTCCCTGTTTCCTCGTAGGGTGTTATTTTTGGAACGACCGTTGCTCTTCCGCAGCCGTCGGTGCTGCAGTTCCTCTTGGCCGCTCCCGCTCCACCCGTTGGCGAAACGGCGCACGAGCTTTGCGTTTCACCATGGTCCATTCCACCCCTGTTTTCTTTCGCTCAGGTTTGACCGCACACTTGGAGGTTTGGAGATGGAGCTCCGTCTCCAGGACCACTTGGCGAAACTCTTCAACGATCAGCACCCTTCGAAGGACGTGCGAAAGAATGCCCGGGCCATGGCCAAGCTGCTGAAGGAGGCCAACCGCCTGAAGACCGTCCTGAGCGCCAACGCCGACCACATGGCGCAGGTCTGGCCCCCGGCACCGCGTTTCCAGCTTTTTCAGGGCCGAGGGCGTTAGGGAGAGGCGTCGGGGTGTGGGAAAGCGTCGCTCCCGGTGTTCTGGGCCCGGCGGTGGTGCTGCTGGGGATGAAGTGAGTGGGCTGGGCGCAAGGTGTGAGGTTTGGTGAACGAGCTTTTGCTGGGGGCAGCCGCCTGGTAGAACCGCGTTGCATCCTCTGGTTGCCTTAGCAACGTCGGGGCTCGCTGGGTCCTGGGTGCCTTAAGCTGGAACCTTTTCCACACCGGGCGAGTTGGGCAGAGGTTTTCCTTGAAGGATGCTCCACGAGTAATTTCATTCTGGCTGGGTTTTTTTTTTTGGGCAGATTGAGGGGCTGCTAGATGACATCGACTTCAAGGCCAAGGTCTCAAGGCAAGAATTCGAGGACTTGTGCTCTGACTTGTTCCAGCGAGTCCCAGGCCCCGTGCAGCAGGCTCTGAGCAGCGCGGAGATGAGCCTGGTAGGTTTAAGGATGCGTTACCAAGCCTGAAGCTTCTGCGTGTGGAGCTGTTGTTGTGCTGCGGTCGGACTCGGAGGGGTAAAAACTGCTTTCCTCTCGGGCTGGCGGTTTGGAGAGGCTGTTAAGTGCTTTCCAGGGTGCCAGCACGCTCCTGAGCATCTCTGGGCTCTGATGTCCATTGCAAGGCCTGGAGTCACCTCTGGGTGTCTATCTGTTCTGGTCCAGCTCGCTGCCTGAGCATTAAACTGTAGTTTATCTAATCCCGAATTGAGTCCCACGTTCCGGGTGACTTGGTCACGTTGTCCCTGCTGGACAGACCCGACTCCTCGTGGTGGCATGGCCCGAGTCACCCTGCCTGAGATCTGTTGGGCACTGGCATGCCTGGGGACGGCAGGACGTAGCGTGGGTGTTCCTGGAGCGGGAGGGAGCGTAGGGGAGCTCTGAACGTGGCTGTCCCAGGTTGCTTTCTGCAGACGAGGTGACTGTTTCCAATCCCTAGGATGGAATCGACCAGGTGATTCTGGTCGGCGGTGCCACGCGGGTCCCCAAAGTGCAGGAGGTTTTGCTGAAAGCGGTGGGCAAGTGAGTACGTGAGGCCCCTCCTCGCCGGGCTCCTGCTGCCAGGCCGCAGACACCAAACTCACGTCTTGCTTTGCGCTCGGTAGGGAAGAGCTGGGCAAGAACATCAACGCCGACGAGGCCGCCGCCATGGGAGCCGTCTACCAGGCAGCTGCTCTGAGCAAAGCCTTCAAGGTGAAGCCCTTCGTCGTTCGGGACGCCGCCCTGTTTCCCATCCAGGTAACCCTCGCGTCGCTTTGAAGCGCCGATTCCAAGACGCCGGGCGTACAGAAACATCTGCCGGGAAACGCTCGCCCGCCCCGGCTTCAGGGTTTCTGTTTGGGCTGCAGGTGGAGTTCACCCGCGAGGTGGAGGAGGACGATAAATCCAAGAGTCTGAAGCACAACAAGAGGATCCTGTTCCAGCGCATGGCGCCCTACCCGCAGCGCAAGGTCATCACCTTCAACCGCTACACCGACGACTTCGAGTTCTATGTCAACTACGGGGACCTGTCGTTCCTGAGCGAGGGTGACCTGCGGTGAGCCGAGGGGGTTGCTGCGGGCGTAGGGACGTGACCGTGTCTCCGAGCTGCGCGCGCTCTCGCCAGCCGAACCGTGCCGGCTCCTTGTGCCGCGCAGGAAGCGGTTCGCTACTCCACGGCCTTGTTACCTTCGCTTTTCACTTCTGTCTCTGCGTTGCCAGGGTTTTTGGTTCTCTCAATCTCACCACCGTGAGGCTGAAGGGGGTTGGGGACAGTTTCAAGAAGCACCCGGATTATGAATCCAAAGGCATCAAAGCTCACTTCAACATGGATGAGAGTGGAGTGCTCAGTCTGGACCGGGTAAGCGCGGCCCTGTCGCGACGTCTGTCAGCTTCCGCGTGTTCTGGTTCCATCCCTCTCCGCTACGGGTGGTCCCTGCCCGAGGCTCACCCTGTGCTCCCCTCTCCCAGGTGGAATCCGTGTTTGAGACGGTGGTGGAGGAGAAGCCGGAGGAGGAGTCGACGCTGACAAGTAAACGCTGCGCGTCGGTGC